GACTCTGAAAAAATACGGGATAGTTTGAACTGAACTATCAGAAATGCCAGTTCTTGAGAAAACAGATAGAGTTTTTAGGATACGTAATATCCGCGGACGGAATAACGTTAAGTCCGAGGCGGTTAAAAATTTCAGGCAACCACGCACGGTATTAGAGGTTCAGAGATTCCTCGGCTTAACTAATTATTTTAGGAGATTTATTAAGGGGTACGCGCAGATAGCGAAGCCCATACAAGACTTAGTAAGAAAGGACGTACCATTCGTTTTCGACGACCACTGTGTCGACGCGTTTCAGAAACTAAAGCAGGAGTTAACGTCACCGCCGGTGCTCCAATTATACAATCCGGCCGCGCCGACGGAATTGCATACGGATGCCTGTAGCACAGGCTTAGGAGGAATTCTCCTGCGAAAGCAGAAGAACGGTCAGTGGTCCCCGGTAGCCTATTACAGCCAGAGCACGAATCAAGCTGAGAACCGGTATCACAGCTATGAGCTCGAAATGCTGGCAATAGTCAGGGCAATCGAGCGTTTCCATCTATATCTGTACGGGTTGGAGTTCACCGTGGTTACAGATTGTAACGCGATAGTGTACGCGGTGAATAAGGCGAACCTCAACCCGCGAATAGCGAGATGGACGCTCGCTCTCCAAAATTATAGGTTCAAGCTGACTCACCGCCCAGGCAAACGCATGTCCCATGTGGACGCCTTAAGTCGTTGTACGGCGTACGTGCACGAGCTACCTCTCGAGCGGGAGTTAGAGCTGCGGCAGCTGACGGACCCTAAAATTTTGGAGACAAGCAAAAAATTAGAAATCGGCGAAGATAAGAAATTCGAATTAATCAATGGCTTAGTTTATAAGAGGGACGAGAATCAGAAACGCTTCGTGGTACCAGATTCGATGATACCCAGTCTATTAAGAGCTCACCACGACGAGATGGCTCACTGCGGAGCCGAAAAACCATAATGGGCATCTCGAAAAATTTCTGGTTCCCGTCCATGAGAAAAGTAGTCCATGATTACGTGGGGAATTGCCTCACATGCGTGATGGCGAATAGCGCCTCGAATCGATTCGAGGGCGAGACCCAGCTCGTCCCCCTTCCCGCGGCGCCAATGGAAGTGGTGCACGTGGACCACCTTGGCCCGTTGCCCGAGTCCGCCGACGGATTCCGGCACATCTTGGTGGCGGTCGATGCGTTCACTCGGTTCACGTGGCTGCATGCCGCGAAATCTACGGGGTCGAAAGAAACAATTAGTTTGCTAAAGAATATATTTGATACCTTCGGCAGACCATCGGAGGTCGTGTCGGACCGAGGGACGGCATTCACGTCGCGAGATTTTAATGAATTTGTAGAAACGCAACAAGTAAAGCATCGGAAGGTGGCTGTAGCCGCCCCATGGGCGAACGGCATCGTAGAACGGGTGAATAGGTTCATTAAAACCTCGTTGATCAAATCCATTGTAGAACCGGCCGAATGGAAAACCCACCTCGGTAAAATACAATACATATGCTAGGATTCGACCAACGCAATCATTCAGACTTCGCGCTCGCGCAGCTCACCAGTGCGTTGGCGGAAGTCGAGTCTGACCTAGAAAGGGAAAGAGAAATTAATCGCGATTCAGCTCAAGCCGCGACAAACTTAGTAAGGGAGTACAATAAAAAATATTCGGATAGCCGTCACAAAAAACCGTCGGTATACCGCGACGGCGAGTACGTGCTTATAAAAAACGACCGGAATAAACCCGGGGAAAGCGCGAAGATAAAACCCGGTTACAAGGGGCCGTATCAAATAGCGAAGGTGCTAGGGCATAACCGCTACGTTGTAAAAGACGTACCTGGATTCAGCCTCACGCAAAAGCCCTTGAACACAATCCTGTCGTCTGACCGGCTTAAGCCCTGGATCAGGATCGGCGACCCTGTACCGGAAAACGACGTAAAATAGATACGCGTCGCGCTAGCTAGATTAGGAACGTAATGTAACCTGAGTCGCAAGAGAACGAAACCTCGAAAGAATGGATACGGGACTGAGAGTCTCAATAGAGGCACTCATTCGGCTCTTGCGAGTCAGGAACATCCTTAGTTATAAGAGAATTTTATATGTAATTTGCGGAAGTAAATGTACCAGACTGCGTAACCCGGCAAACGAGATCGCGAACAGATACCGGACTGAATACGCAACGCGCGGAGGTAATAAAATAAAATGCACTTACCTTACCTTGCGAATAGCCAATCCGAAGCGGAGAACCACTGGCGTGTGCGCAGCAACTTCGAGACGCAGTTGCAGGCCAGAATGGCCGAACTGTAAGGTATCGGGCGGTAACGCGCCTGCGCGCCGCGGCGGCACAGTGGAGCACGCAGCGCGCCACAAGCGCGGTCCGAGCGGCCCCTCTTAGCGGGCGATTCGAGAGCGCATGCGTGCCGAAGCGGAGCGAGCGTACGGACTCCACGCGCGCGAAAGGGGACTCACTCTCCTCCGAGAAGAGATCCCGAGCAGAAGGAAGCCAAAGCAAGGAGAATCTCGAGAGTCTTTGTAGTCTCGCGCGCGAGTCTTAGAATCCGCCGTCTGAGTGTCGGTGTTAAGTAGTCCTGTAATTTCTTTGTACTGTTCATTTATTTGCTAAATATATACATCGTTACTAGTGCTACGAATGTGAATAGTTCTCTCAGTCGGAACCGCCCCACCTGATTTCCGTAGCGATTCCCTTCGTTATATCCTTTCAATAGTAAGTTCGCTCGGTGCCCATCCCAAAAATCTCGACGTTCTTGTTATCCCGTCCTATCGCATTATCGACTGCGAGCGACCATATTAGCGGTAACATGGCAGAGCATGAAAAGATTCGTAAACTTAAGAGGGCTCGCGGCGCGATAAAGGGACAACTTACACGCGCGTGCAATTGGCTTAGAGTCTTCGATAAGGAAAAGGAACCGATCGAAGCGGTTGAGGTTAGGTTAGGTTAGCCGCTATCGAGTCAACATGGTTAGCGTTTCGCGAAAAACAAGATGCTCTTATAGGGCTCGATCCAGATTGCGATGGAGAGGAGGAGCGAGGGGCTTTCGAGGCGGAATATTATGCAGCAGCCGCAGCTGCAAAGGCACTTATTGCTTCGCATAAGAAGGGCATTTCTAATCCTGTTCAAGTTCAAAACCGTCAGGTCGATAACGTAAATTCGGGTTCCCAACGTGATATTGTTGACAAGATTAAACTCCCCCCCCCATAAATTTACCCACGTTCAATGGGACATACGAAGGTAAAACTTTACAAACACGGACCCAGCCCCAATGACCTTGACCTTGGCATATGTTGTCAAGGTCACCTTACTGAGTGACCTTCAGAA